GGAAGAGTTAATTGCTTGGACTTAGAGAATCTCTACTTTGGTTGAATAATTGATCGTTTTCCTTGAAGGTCGTTTGCAACCCGATTACTTGGATGTTGAAATGGAACACAGAGTTGTGAGGGTTGTTTATTATGTTTATTATGGTCATGAGTGACTTGCTACTAGCTAGCTATGACTATGATCTGGTCAGTAAGTAGTATGTAGCAGGGGGTTATAAGTAGAAGGGAACATATTTGAGGTTTTATACAGGGCGCTAAAATGAAATAAAATGGTGGTGGTGGTGGTCTCTAGGTTGTCTATGTCGATGTTCTTTCAACTTCTACACGTTTGCAATAACATTTGTTTGTTTCCTTAGCATGGATTTTGGCCTAATTGAATCCCTAACTAAACTTTGATTTTGGCTTGATTCTTCTCTAACGACTATTATTTGGATTGAAGCATAATTAATTGAGGTTTATTGAAGTATCCAACTTTTACTATTCGTCTATGTTGTTATTAGGTAAAAAATACCATTGTTTTTTGCAGGGGTGTGTAGCTCTCTACAAAATATAAATTATGTTTATATGTAATTTAGTTTACTAAAATATCATTTTAATAAATTAGTGACAACTGAGTTCTATTTGTGGTTGGTTTTGCTATACATTTCAAGCTAGATTAATCGAATAAATGAAAGATTGATGATGTGGATGCCAATGTGTTTCCTCTTTTTTCCAAAATTGCACGAGTAACTGATACTGCACGATATTCGTGGGATCTACATCGTGATAGTCGCTATTATCATATAACAACATATTGAAGAAGGAAATGAAAAGTTCTTCTTTATTTTTCATTAATTGAACATATTTTCTTATTTTAACTTCTTTTGTGACCTTTAATTCTTTAATTTTAATCACTATTTAGCGCAAAAAAATTATTAATTCCTTATGTTTATATTTTGAATTGTGAATTCGATACAAAATTATAAATCACTAAAGAAAGTTCTATAGGGAGCTTATGTAATAAAATTAAATTTTTATAAATAAACGAAAGATTTACAAGTGTGAAACAATACATGAAATTTGCTAAGTCAGATTAATAATTGAATGTATAATAGTTTAACATAAATATACAAACATAAAATACTAGAAAAAATAAAATAATCAATCAGAATGTAGCGCCCAACGGTCGGGTCAAAAACTAGTTTCGATTTGATTCAATGGCAGTTAGGTGAATGTGGATCGTTGACATTCTTCTATTTGTCCAATTATGTCCGTCTACTTCAACTAGCATTTAGAGCCGATGGATTGGCCGGGGCCGGTTCGACTGCATCAATCGCCGTTACTTCACCACCGTTGGCGCCATGCCATTCCCTTAGAAGTTTCTTGATTGGAGCTGAAGGTGCATATCAATAGCGGTTGACATCTTTTTATCTCTCCAACTTTGTCTTTCTACAGTTCTAATTGAACGTACATTAGGGTAGCACGTTGGAGCTGAATGAGTGAATAAGGCCGAGGATGGGTGAGAAGAGAAGCTAGATAATGAGGGCTGGACAGAGAGTGAGAATTTGAAGGACCTTCCATATTATAATTAATGAGGATTCTTATACTATATATAATCAGGGATGCAGTAAATATGTGCATGTTGTACACGTTGAAGAGGAAGGATGCCACTTGGCTACCTCTACTATCTTTTTTCTTTGATCATTCTTTTTTCATTTTAATTTGTAGGCTTTTGGTAATTTGGGATGACAGGTGGTTTTCATATGAAGTAAAAACAATCACATTCACATCAACGTGAAAATTATAATATATGTTGTATATAAAGGATAAATGAATGAATTTTGATAATTTGTGTAAGAAAAATGTTATTTTAAGGATGTGTTGCTAGAATATAATACTAACTAATGCAAGCAAATAATGTCGCCGTACATTATTTTTCTTCATATTTATATGACTTACACATAGTTGTAAAATATATTCCTTGGCCACCTCTACAGACCTTACAATTTTCACTTATCAAAATTTAAACGGTAGCAATATGATATAAATTTTCAATAGATAAGTTTATGTATAAAATGTTGATTGTTAGTTCTTTTTCCTCAAATTTTCATATTACATTATTTATTTAATTGTGCATTGACCGCTTGATGAGTCAAATTATAGTTTACATTAGTTATATTTGGTGATAAGGCTAGATAGTTTGACAATCCCACATATCTAATGTACAGTACCAAGAATTTATTGTAAGAATTCATGTAATAATGTTAGAAATTAGAATATTTTTTATGTTAAAAATGATTTTATCGGGGCACATACTAAATGTTAAATATTTATTTTTATCGGGACATCTTCACGAGGGATGCTACTAGAGAGATGGGAAAGGGGAAACAAGCGTTGTTACTGAGATTCGAATATAGGATGAGATTATATTATATTTGTATCAAAATAAGAAAATTAATCCAAAAAATATTTAATTTGAAAATCATTGAGCTCAATACTTACCATAGCATTTCATTGAGAATGTGCTTTTACAAAATATGTATTATTTTAATATTACAAAAGTTATATGAGAGAACTTTATACTCTATCGAGAATTTTTTATGAATTTTTTATCAGTCTTTCATTCATCAAACAAAAAGTTATTATTATATTACATAATCAAACTATTCAAACGAAAAGTATGTCATCTTAAAATTAAGTAAAATTTTGTCGATTTGGTTTCATAGATAAAGTTTTGGACTTTGCTACGGTGACATGCATGTCACGGTGACATGCATGTCACGGTCGACCTCATATAGGATCAGGTCGACCTAATCAGTTGTTTCAGTGTACAAACAGTTTCATGGTGCCTACTTTGAAGATTCATATCTTACAATTGGCTAGATGGAAATTGGAGATTAAAGGCTTGTTTTGAAGCTGAAGTGTCCCTCTACACATTAAAGTACTTGGGAGCTCAATAGAAATTCCAGAAGACCATTTTTGAACCTGACCAAAAGGCTATGTCAAAACTGGGAAACTGCCTGAAAATGGCTAAGTCTGGCAACGTGTTTGTCAAGCCTACTTTGGAGCTCAATTTGACAAGCATGGATGCGAGTCAAGTCCAGGGGCCTTTACCACGTTAAATTACGTATTTTTTTATACAAAGGCAAGACATTGAATGAAAGATTGAATATCTTTAAGGCTTCAAACAAAAGGCTCGAAGTTGCTACGAAGGCTGTTTTTCTGGCAGCTTGCTTGTGCTCGAAGTCTGCCAGAAAAACAGCCTTCGTAGCAACTTCGACCCTTTTGTTTGAAGCCTTAAATATATCCAATCTTTCATCCAATTCCTTGAATTTGTATAAAAACATACCTAATTTAACGTGGTAGAGGCTCCTGGACTCGACTCGCATTCATGCTTCTCGAATTGAGCTCAAAAATAGGCTTCACAAACACGTTTCCAGACTTAGCCATTTCTAGGCAGTTTCCCAGTTTTGGCATAGCCTTTTGATGAGGTTCAAAAATGGTCTTCTGGACTTCCTATCGAGCTCTCAATCACTTCAATATGTAGAGGGACACTCCAGCTTCAAAACAAGTCATTAGTCTTCAATTTCCATCTAGCCAATTGTATGATATGAATATCCAAAGTAGGCACCATGAACTGTTTTTACACTGAAACAACATATTAGGTCGACCAGATCCTATATGAGGTCGACCGAATCCTAAATGAGGTCGACCGGATCCTATATGAGGTCGACCGGATCCTATATGAGGTCGACCGAATTCTATGTGAGGTCGACCTAATCCTAACTGAGGTCGACCGGAAAGTGCAAGTCACCGTGACATGCATGTCACCGTAGGCACACCCTAAAGTTTTACTTATATGTTTTTTCAGGTCGGAGGTCATTGTTTTCATCATTGTCCTAAAATGTCTATTTGTTCATAGAATTGGTTTCATTAGCTTAGCAAAATTCCATATTTGATTGTTGACTTAGACTGATCTAGAAATATTGAGTGATAATTATAAAATTATATAGACGAAGGTATACGTTAGTTTCATCACTAATATTGTATCTAGGGATGATAATTACCTCCCATGAATAGTTTTGTCTAAATTTAGGTAAACTCATAGATAGGAAGTCTCCTGCTTTTGTTTTCATTGTTGGTAATTAGCAGTGTACTTATATTTTATGTAACATAGTTACAGTTAATCAGTTGTCAATAATTGAAATAGGCGGAGAAAGAAGCACAAAATTAAGATGAGAAAATAAATGGTTGATTATATACATGTATTGTAGGAAGCATCTCTAATGTTCAATTAAATGGTCTAAAAGACAATCAATATATGTATTTTTTCTTATTAATACTTAATACTTATATGTATTTCTTAAACCATATTTCTCTTCTTCTTATATTCTAAGCACATTATGTATAGACATATATTGCATGCATTTTCGAGGATCTATTAAATCTATTATTGTATCTATATTTTTGGTCTAACCTCTCCCGACCAACGGGCCGAATCCAGTGCTAGTCACTAATAAGAGAAACCCGGCCAATGGGCCGAACTCTGTGCTAGTGAATTAGTGATTATAAATAAAGACTAACCTATTCATGTTTTCTTTTAACCTTGGCCCATGTCGTGGCCCATATAAATAAAGAGAGAGTTGTACTTTTTAAGAGGCCTATAATAGCCCAATAACATATAATTAATATTTAGGTTTTTGGAATTTGATGGAGGCTCGAAATTGAGCACATTTGATTATAATTTATAATATAAACTCTAATAAAAAATTAATAAAGACCCACGCGGGTTTGATGAAGCACCAACCCACACCAGCAACAGAGTTTGGTGAGTCATGCGTACATTTTGGGGGGGGGGGGGGGGTTCATAGTATGTAAACGTGAATGAAGTTTGCATTCATCCTCGCAAGATTCCAACTTCCCTTCTACACAGAATACCACTTCCCATCTACACTATTCCCTTCTGTTTCTCGTTCCCCACGGCAAGTGATCAATATACTCCACCGCTGAGAGAGTTGAGACGAAAATTGTCCCGGTTGCCAGATAGAGAGAATCAAAGCATCGAAAACAGGCTGGCCTCTTCGAGAAATCATTATTGTATGCCTTGTCTTGTGCAAAAGTAAGTTAACTAGCCGCTTTTATCTTTGTTGTTGGCGTTTATAAATGATATTGCTCATTCTGGTGTTTGTATGTTTGCAGCATTGCCGATATCTTCCCTTTTTCCTTACCAATATTTTATGGTAAGCATTGTGTAGCATGTAACTATGTACGTAGTATATTGAATACGGATTGCTAACGAACCTTGTTTTTGGAATTATAGGTTAGGGACTTCAATGTGGCAACACATGAAGAAGATATAGGTTACTATGCTGGATACGTTGGTAAGATTATCTTTTTATGATAACGTATGTTCTTGCTTCTAACCTTATACTTGAGCTCCCGGCTCTCCAGACGATCTTAAACTCACTCTACGTTGATATTTTTGAAGGTTCCTCTTTTATGTTGGCCAAATCAGTGACGTCTGTGATCTGGGGTCTCATTGCCGATCGCTACGGCCGGAAACGTGTTCTACTGCTGGGGACCTCGACAATGTAAGTTGTTATGACGATACGAGCTTGCTTGTTTGAAGTGATAAAGTGATCGAGTTAATAAAGTTGTTATTTGGCTGCAGGGTTGTCGCCAATATTTTGTTTGGGCTTAGTATGAACTTCTGGATGGCAGTGTCCATGAGGGCTCTTCTTGGCTGTCTAAATGGTTTAATTGGAACGACAAAGGTATTACTTACTTAGTTACCTCTTTACATATATAGTCACGAATATGAGTTACTTATAAAATCGACCGACGATTTACTGGTTTGTGAACAGGCATATGCAAGTGAGATTTTCAGAGAAGATCACAAGCTCTTTATGTTTTCAAGAACTACCGCATGCATGCATATTGCATTCGCTTACGTACCAGAAGAGTGGCGTATCTGCGGATTATTATATTATTAAAAAGAAACACTATTCAGGAGCGACTCCTTCGTTTCCTATTCTCCACCAGTTGCCCTTTAAAGCTCAAGTGTCTCCTCCGAAACAGCAACAAAGAAGAGAAGAATTCAAGCCAGGGATCCATACTTTTCCCTATAGAGCTAATCTGTTACTATTTTGCGTAATTCAAATGGTTTAATATTATTTATTGCATGTATATGGATGGTTTTCTTTTAGTCTGTACCTTGAAGGAATGGCTGTTTTATGAAATTCCACAATCTTTTATTAAGCATTATATTAGTCTTCAGTAGTTACTAAACACAAGAAAAATCATCCCAACCCACTCACTCCCATGTCTTTTTCATTTTGTTATTTTCGTGATGTGGCTTCAATTTTTTAATGTTTACAACTTAGAACCGTGATTTATGTTTTATCTACCTGGCCAATAGGTCAATAGCAATTTTTCAATGTGTTTGTCATCCACTCCTCACTATTGTTCTATGCAGCTTCTACAAAGATAATTACATTGAGTCATTAGAAGATGCGTTATCTATGACAATAATTGATTGGTCAAATAGGGATGTGTATGGAATGGGACACACGACCATCCAATGAAAGTATCATATTTTTAATTGATAAATTCTGTTACTTCCTATAGTTAATTTCATGTTTATTGCAAATTTACTATTTGTGACTAAACAGTTTGTTAAACCAAATTACGAAGTCAAGGTGGAATCAGAGTGTTCTTTATATTAGGACCAACAGACCGGGCACAAGTCCTCCAATCTATCTAGAACATATATAAAGCAGATTCATCACCCCGTTTTCGTCCATTTTGAAATTCCAGCCCTGGGAGTGTTTCACGGAAGGGTATTGTCGACATTTAGCCTATATTAATGACGCTCTGCGTTTAGGCTCCCGGATTGAGGCTTTCATAATGGGCGGGTTATGGACTTCGAGTTCGTTGTTGGCCGCTGGAAAGCTCTCTTAGAATAGCCCATTAGTTCAAGGCCCACGAATTTACTATGGCGCGGCTCGACGTGGAACGTGGTGGATTGCTAAGCAGATGCAAAGCCAAGAACAGATCAAACAAATATCGCAAACCAAACACGTCCCAACTCCTAACAAAGGCACTCCTAAGCTGACGTCCTTTACCTGCATCTCCCCAATTCGCAGAGCATGATGACGTTGGGTTTTTGGTAGGGGGAACAAAGCTCTCCTTACAAAGAATGATGTGCTTCTGCCAAGAACACCAAAGAGAACGAGCCTGAATGTATATGTCCCAGTTCCATCATCATGCAACTGACGCCAAGTTATGTAACTTCCCACGTACGTCACGTCACTTTGCTGCAAATTAACCTCCTCTTCCCCCTTCTCCAACCATCTCGCCGGGCGCTGCCATTTTCACTAATGTTTCTTCGGCGATCGGGACGCCAGGGCATTCCACGATTGTACTTTCTTGATCACCACTGATTCTTTGGGGATGGCTGGCGTGGTTCCTCTACAGTTTGCTATGTTTCGGCTTAACCTTTCTGAAGCGAACCATTGAGGCAACCGGATTTATGGATCCCCCTTCGCAAGTTAAACTCAAAAAAATCATCATATCACCACATGCGGACCCGGTGTATCGCATCCACTTACAACTTTAGAACACTTTTTGTTTCCATGTTGGAAACTAGAGAATAATTGATTGTGCTAGGCTGGAATGGACAGCGTAGATTAAATTCTCATGACATTGAGCTATGAATCTTCGTTCTTTGGGCATTTTTTACCATAACCGATAGATTACTATCCTTCTGAGTATTTTTTGTTCTGTCATAGATCTTTTTGAGTATTTGGTATTGTTAGAATTTAAACTTATATAGCCATATTTTATACATTCAATTGAAAAGGGAATTCTCATGCATTCAATCACCTCAGCGGATTTCCATAGTTAGACCACTTGCCAATATGTTATTTACATAGCTACCATACAAAATACACATTTTATGAGTCTCCAAATATATATACATATTCAATCATGCACCAAGCAAAAGTTGGTGTATGTCGTACACCAGACCATCTCAACAGTCAGTATAATTGTGGGTTCTTTTTTTTTTTAAGATTATAAAATAAATTATCGCATTTATGTTGATCATTGAAATGGACGCAAACGATAGAGATTTTCTGGTGTACGGCATACAACAACTCTTGCCTGGTGTATGATAGACATCACTATGGTAGAGATAGGAGTAGTATACTCCAGGTGATCTGGTCGTTAGATGTACTTAAAAGAGCTCCGATCAATCTCAACGGTTAATTTGTATTTTCTATAAATTTAACTTCGAATTTGGGTTTGGAGAATCGCAGCGTACCGTTTATCCATTATAGGTTAGGGTATAATATAATACTCTAAACTATATTTAATATATAGTATCTCACTAGGAATACATGGAGTACTATACTCCAGAAATACACCAATCCGACCCATATTATATATATGGAAAATGCTATCATACGCCTGACCTTGCTTTCACACCTATTATTTGTACTTGGATAAATTCGACAAATCAGAATCCTTAGTTTCATTTTAAGATGAAATGAACCTTATGGTTTGGGTAAGAGAATTGGAAACTAGAGTTCACCCATTAAAGATTAGTGTATAATATCATGCCCCAAACTCTGACTAATTCAAGATCTAAATAACAAAAATGAACGGGCATACGGTAAGGTAAGCATACGCCAGACGTACGCTAGCCTAAACTATATATATGGTTCAGGCTACACCTGTTGTGTTGTGTTATTTAGACCATGACGTTTGCTAGCATAAACTATATATTATACCCGAACCATGAGATTCTTTCAATTTTATAATAATACCCGGCGTTTCTGGTTCGTCAAAATATATCAAGTACAAATAATAGGTGTGAGCGCATGCGTATAGCATACACCAGACATATGCTAGCCTTTGTGATATATATTGTAAATACTGGTAAACTATAGGAGTATAGTATACTCTAGGTGAACTGGCTGTTAGTACTTCGATGAGCTCCGAAAAATCCCAATGGTCAACTATTGTTTTCTATTAAATTGAACTTCAGATTCCGGTTTAGAGAATTGGGGTTTGTGGTTATCTATTAGAGGATAGAGCAAAGTATATAATCCAAACTCGATTTAATTTATAGTCTAGATCGAGATATCTCACTTAGAATGTGTGGAGTATAGTATAATCCAGTAGTACACCAGTCCGACCCATATATATATATATATATATATATATATATAGAGCATCCACATTGGAATTGAAATGAAATTCATTTGTAATTGCATCTTTGCTAGCTTGCATCTAATGCAATTATGAGTTGCGAGCCACACTATAATTAAATTATTTATTATTTGATTGTTTTATGTTTTTAGAATTGTAGTAAGAAATCAATTGCAATTGCAAGTGAAACGTATTGATGTTATGTAACTAAAATGAAGTTAAAATGAGTTGGATTTTTTTTAAAATTGTGAAATGACAATAAAAACAACATTTGCAATTACGTTGTTGCGGATGCTCTTATTACTCCTCCGGCCAACGTGTCGGGCCCAGTACTAGTGTATAATAGTGGAGTTTTATGAATTTTTCAATATTCCAAATTTGTTGTTCTCCTCTTAATTTTTGTCAGGGTATTTTAATCCAAAATTTATTCCTAAAGCCCGCCATATTCTGCTTCTAAAATGGGTAATTATAAGACTGTGTATGAGATGTCAATGTCCAGTCCAATCATCAGGGCCCATCAGGCTGTTCATCGTCTGTCCACAAAAGCCCATACTTACTATAAGTTGGTTGGAACTTAAAAGCCTATAATCAACACTAAAATGGCAAATGCCACCAGAAGTTGCTGCTAGGGCTGAAAATTTGCCTGTCTCGTCTCTGTCTCTGTCCGACCTGTCCCTGATGGGTCAAGATGTATAACCGTTCCGTCCCGTCCCTGTCTCTTTTTTGACCCTGTCTGACCCTCAAAGGTTGGGACGGGACGGGACGGACCGGGTCAGTGGGTCGACCCTAATCATCACACTACTTTTTTACAAATTACGTTTTGGTACCCAAATTTAGTTTTACTTACAATTTAGTGCTAAAATTTTATTTTTTTACAAATAAGTCCATTAATTTTGATGGTAAAATTACATTTTGGTACCCAATTTTTTTATTTTTACAAATTAGTACCTAAACTTTTAAAACTTTACAAAAAGGTCCAATGAAGTATGAGATATTTGTTGTTGCTAAGGGTCACAGGGTCAAAACGTGACCCGTCTCTAAGTTGTCCCGACCCGTCCCGACCCTTACAGGATCAACAAATGACCCGTCCCTAATTTATCCCTGTAGACAAACCGACCCGTCCAGACCCTAGAAAGTACGGAACGGGTCAGTGGGTCTTCTGTGACAAGCTTTCACCCCTAGTTACTGCTATCCAAGGGGCAAGGGAGATAATTTATCTCAAATTGAACTCTCCATTTCCTATTTAAAATACTTGGACACCTATTTCAAAAATTTATAATTAATGTTTATCAAAATTTTATAATAGTTGGTAGGTTTACGAGATTGAAGTGAACTGTTAAATTTTATAGGGAAATGGTTGTATAAAAGAATATCAAATATTTGTTATTAATTTATAGTTGGCGCTATTATTACATGTTGCCATTGCAAAAGTTGATAGAGTATTTCTGCAATAAACTTCGTGAACAACTAGGGGTGTCCATTCGGGTTCGATTTTTCGGGTTTACACGAAACCGACCCGATTATATACATTTTCGGTTTTTCGGGTTCGGGTTCGTTTCGGGTTTCAGGTTTTTCGATTTCGGGTTCGGTTTTGCTTATCGGTTTTTCGGGTTCTGGCTAAAAACCTCAAATGAATAGAACTCAGCCCGTATTTTTAGGCGTTCGGGTTTTCGGATTTCGGTTTTGCTTTAATCGAACCCGAACCCGATAAAGAATTTCTGGGTTTCGGGTAACCGGAACCCGCAAGTCCTTATCGAGTTCGGATTCGGTTTTAGTGATT